TCCCCGGTGATGCAGTTCCCGGTTTGGCCCGAATTATCGAAGCTGCAGCCCGTGCGGGCCCAGAAGCGGCCCGACCACCCAATTGGGGCAGAAACGCTGGTCGATTTGCTAGGCTCCAGCTCCAGACTGCCATTTATCTGGAGCTGAGGTTTTCCGGCGCCGGTCAAGATTCCGGGCCATATGGTTTGGCTGCATCGGTTATGCAATGTGAAATCCGCGGCGTTCGAACATCCTGGAAAATATATAGTACGGTTAAAAAACCAAAGGCAATTTACTTGTCTAATTCTTTTTTCGGTATACTAACTTTCTCTCATTAATAATAGTACGTCATGTTGCAATTTATATCACTATTTGGACATTTTCTCAAAAATGGTTCATTAATTTTCGTGATTAGGGTCCTAAAAATTATACAAAATGCAACATTCATTAGTCTTCGGGATCAATGTCCTATAAATTATACAAATTGCAACATAACGTACTGTTTTTTATCAGTAATGTCCCAAAAATATACAAAAGTTACAACATAACTTATTATTTTTGTTAAGAAGTTAGTGTACCAAAAATGGAATTTAGACAAGTAAACTGATCAAAATTAAAATTATCCCAATTACATAACGCAGATGTGAAAATCAAAAATGTTGTATAAAATGAAAAGCAAGAAGAAACAATTATTGACCTGTGAGGAAAGCTAGGACAGAGACAAAGAGCAAAGCCCACCGTGCCGCCATGATTATATGTAAATCAAATATTCAGACTGTGAAGCTCGAATGTACAAAATTGATGAACTTGTGCATGTATTTATATGGGCTGTCTTGGTATGTTGCAATAAACTATTGTCGTAATTGTTTTCAGTTGGTATGTGTATTTGTCAAAGAGACATGTTATAGATATAGTGTGATACAAATGAATATTCCTTCTTGCTTTTCTGTTAGTATGTGTGTTAGTCAAAGAGATTGTCTATCAATAGTGTGATGATGAAAACAAATATTCTTTTTTTGCTTTATGTTTGTATGTGTATTAGTCAAAGAGTGATTAAAGACAGTGTGATAGAAAGAAATATTTACTAGACTTTAATGAACACGAGGGATGATACATACACACTAGTATTCGAACATATGTATATTTGTACAGATGTAATAATTAGTAAAGTAGTATTAATTATTTGTATTCATATCTATATATGTAAAAAAAGAATTACCATTTACTAAAAATAGTATCAAAAATTTAGGAAACATTTAATGCATGCTATTTTTGGAAATTTTTTATATATGCATTAATTGCTTCTATTTACACGTTCTCAAATAAGATCAAATAATTACTTAAATAAATTATTAATATCTACAGTATTTTCATTTATATTTATTATAATAAATTACAAAATTGATTTTCGTGATTCATGTTGATAATATTTTGGTCAAGACAAATATTATTTTATTAATATTTGTAATACTTTCATTGATATTCATTATAATGAATTACAAGATTGATTTATGTGATCCATGTTGATAATATTTTGGTCAAGATAATATTACACCATATTTTAAGTTCTAACCATAATATTAGTTTTTCTTCACAAATATTCACTTTTTATCCAAAAATATTTATGAAAAATCGTAACAAATTAGCTAGAATTTTTTTTCTAAGTAATCAGACAAAATCAATTTGGTGAATTAATATTTGTCAATATATTTGTTTCTTAAACATTATTTTTTTAAATATAACAAATAAATCGTTCTTCAAATTAATATAATTTACCATTTAAGAGATAATGACCAGATACAATAAATAGTTTTACTAATGGTAAAAAATTAAAATTGAAACATATTAACTATTGTTTAGCATTTATTTGTATATTATTGGCACCCATGACTATATTTATTCATTTTTTTATTTTGATTTATTTCTATAATTAAATTCTTGTAAATATATTTTCATTGTTGAGTATGCTAAATAAACCATAAATCCTTATAATGCGAACTAGAAAAATCTTGATCATATAGGGGATCGAGTTTTTAGGATTTTCTAAATCAAAGTTGTTTAATTAGTATATAAAATTAAATTCTAAAAAAGCATGTGTATATTTTGTAAAATATTTATACACTATTTAATATTAAATTTATTTACATATTTTAAATTAATTACATAAATAAATAATGCAAAAGTGCATTAAATATTTTTCATTACATAAAATAAAAATATAAAGAAGACGTACAACTTTTATAACTTTATAAATAATAATGACATTATATGACATAAAGTGTATAATAAGATAATAATTAAGTATTATATGGTGAACAAGAATAAGTAAAATTGTTATTCTCTCTTGTTTCAAGGAATAAATATATATATTAAAATCAAATTTAAATTAGGATAAATGTGTTAGTGAAATAATATATTAATTATTTTAATATTTTGACTAAAAAAATAACGTTGATTAAAAGAGGTGCAAAATATATTATAAACCTTATTGTTTATTATACTTAAAGCTGATTAAAAGAGATGAAAAATAGATGATAATCCTATTGCTTTATATACTTAAACGGACAAAGCATGTGAAATAACACATTTAATATTTTTGTCTCGTGCATCGTACGGGGTACGTACTAGTAATATTTAAAATATTATAAGTTAGATAATGATATCATTATTTAAGTTTTAGGGTATGATAAGTTATATTAATTTATGTATATAATATTAAATTTATAAGTTAGATAATGCAATTATGTTATAAATTTTGATCATTAGTTATTAATGGTACGGATCAATTTGACTGCATATAAATCACGATATTGATTCCATAAAATATAATAGATAATTAAAATTTGAGAAATCTTAACCAATTAATTAGCTGAAAAATATTAAATTTATTATAGCAAATGCTTATGCTATTATAAATTTTACAATGAAAATAAAACAAATTAATTTATTTAATAAACATTCACTTAAGTGGGTGTAGTTCGCGGTTCACTTTTTAGAAGGCTAAATTAGTTTTTTGGTCCCATAAGTGACCCCTATTTTGGTTTTAGTATCGAAAAATTTGACTTTTTGGAAATCGTCCTGTAAGTGAAAAAAAATTAGTTTTTTCGTCCCATAACCTCCTACAACAGGTCACTGCTACCGAATTGCCTACGTAGAAATTCTCCTAATTTTTTTTTTTTTTTTTTTTTTTTT